TTTAGCTTGTGTGGTGGTTTCGTTTACCTCTTGTTGCTGCTAATGCGGATAAAGGAGTAGAAGGAGGAAACAGGAATCTGGGAGCAGTAACAAGGTAAAGATACGTATTCAGGTAGACTAAGGTCGCGAGGAGATTAAGCAGGCCCAGGAGGGAACTGTTCACGACACTCAACCATAGATTAAACGCACTTGTACTGACTGTGCAAACGCAATTACCTAAAAATGTGCCTAACTTCGGCATCACTTATCCAATTGCTGCAACAAACTTGCACAATGCAAACTAGATCGTGGGAAAGGAACAGCGATCCTCTATTTTTATCATGTTCCCGTGATGACCAAGTGTCTGCATCATACAGCAACACCGGCTGAACTACTGTATTTTACTTACACTTAACCCTTCATGAATAACCATGTTCCTGGTGGTTGGAGATGCCGGAGGTCGGAAAATGAGAACCGATGCTTCTGTACGCTTGTTGACACTTATCCGTGACGCATCTGCCTTGAAATGTAACTAGCTGAGAAGTAAAATTTACCTCATCTCTCCGTTTCTTCCACCAGATGGAATGAGATTTGGAGCTGGACTAACCCGGGTCAACAACAAAATTTTGCGATCGGCAGCTGTAAAACGGATGCTGATTATGATTCGGTTTGTACCCTCGTTAGCCGAGCACATGGTTTGAGTGGTTTGATTTTTCCTTTCTTCGGTGCCCGGTGCATACAGAGCCAAGGACACATCTGAACAGTTCACCAAAATACGACTACCTAAAAACGATCTGCGCAAAGACAGTTGAACGCATTGTATAACCAAACGACTGAAGATGAAATAAAATTCAAAAATTTGCTAAAATCACGTATTTAGACTTTCCAGGATTTAAACCAGCATCACCCTGAGGAAAGTAATATGTCGGTCAAAAGATATAACAATTCATTACAACACGCCACAATAATATTTTAAGATATTTGTGGTCGGTGAGTTTTTTTTCGTTACACGCTTAAGTTCGATGAACAGCACACGGGGCGAACCCCTTAGTCACGAGGATCTGTCGTTCAGTGTTCGGAACCGGTAACCTAAGCCCCGGGAGTGGCGAACCAAATAAGACCACATTAGGATAAACGCGATTTTGAACCGGACGACAGTAAAGTTACCTACCACCAAAGTTGGGTGACGGTGGCTGGGCTCAAACTTCGGACTATAGGATTCAAAGCGCACCCGTGACAGCGACTAAACCATTGGACCACCACTACCTCAATATGATGGTAGTGAAATTTCAATACTTTGGCTCGCAAATCAGTAAGCTTACCGACCATCCGAACGATTTCATTCAGAATCATCGATCCGAAAATGCAAGTGCCTTAGAATGAATCTGGCTCAGTACAATAAATCACATTACAAGATATGTCCAGTGCATAGCAGTGTGGACACAACAGAGAGCGACAGGGAACTACCGATTTGAAACAGTAATTTCGGCCATTGGTTCTAATTAGCATACATATGGTATGTTTGGTTTCCAACAGATCAACGCAGAAAACAGAAAACCTCTACTCCACATGCTAAATACAATGTTTGTTGCTGTGTTTGCCGAAGACAGGTCATATTCCGTTCTTCAGGAAACTGATTTTTAACCTCAGCCTTCGCATTTAGATGATTTTCGATACACATTTGTTCACCGTCCTCATTCACTTTTCTGATTTGAAAACCTCATCCTCTGGATCAGATGTGGATTTAAAAGTTGTAGTCATCCATCAAGGTTCCACAGACTAATTCCACATTGTGAAGATGATATTCACCGGTTTATTGCAGTTGCAACAACTGATCCCCGACCTGTTTATCTTTTGCCGAACGCTTTTAAAACTGAGCTTCAAAATGATTATTGAACACGGAGTAAGGTTTTTGACAAAAATTAAATGCTATCAGCTCACTGTAAAACCTGAGAGACAACCAGTGTGAGAATCATTTTACGCGGACATATCGAAATTCGTAAAAATACTTACCTTGAGAGTACGGAACCACGGCTTTTCTACATAATCACGAAAAGTGTTCACACTCATATCGATCGCTTCCACGGCTTGTGTACTTCCAACCGGTTTGTAGGCATACGGAGCAAACAAGTCCCAAGTGACCCCATCGTGATCGGTAAACATCTGATAGTCGAAAAAGACACCACTGGACACAATATCGAAGTTGGATAACACATTGGCGATCACTTCTCCAAACAGTTCGAAACGATTGATCGGAAATCCAGTCTGAGGTCCGGAAGTAACAAATGGACAAAGGATAGAAGACGGATACAATAACCTTTCCCAAAACAATTATTTGATTGTGATAGTGGAATACTGATACATATATAAACATCGCGATATTGATTGNGATGGCATGATAAGAAATCACAGAATACGAGCTGTTCTGTTCTATTTGAAATTTGCTCTGTGGGACTGTTTAGACAAATCTAAACGATTAAATACGTTAAAACAATTTGGAAGAAGAGAAAATAGCAAATTAATTCGAAATTCGCAAGATTGTATTTGATTTTGGCATGGATAGGATGGAGCCAGTGGGGTAGCAGAACTGATTAATTTTGAAATACATTTTGTTGGTAATTCGGTGGCTATTATAACCAGTTCTGAATACTCCAAAGGACGTGTACGCACAGGCCAAATGTGTACCCCATGAGTTGATCTTAGCGAGTCACTTTTGTTCCTTCCCTGTAAAAAATCACACTCACCACCGTCTCGAACAGTACTGTTTTTCTGTAATCGGACTGTGAAATAAGCAGCGGTTAGCGATGCTATGCTCACTGCACGTTGAACCATGACGAAGCGGCGCTCATAGAATGCACAATTGGTTGCACTAAACGATTCACGAATCACAACTGCCACAGTCAGATATTTTGGCGCAAATCGAGCAATAAGGAAACGCCAAAAAAAGTTGCAGTCAGATTCCATCAGAGTTCTGAAAAATACTGGAAACTTTCTAAAGATTCTTATCACAGAAGAGAAAGCTATTCGGAATGTTAAGCATTTTTTAAATGGAATATAGGAGCACGTCAATGGGAAGAAAGAACGCGAGTGAAGTACCCAAACAGAAGCACACCCATTGATTGTATGACATGATAAATATGATCATTTCACTCGCCATTCACTGAATTACGTTTTTACCTGTGATGACAGAAAGGTAAATATCAGAAAGTACCCCCGAGAAAAAAGTGTCAGATCGAAAATGCGAGTACAGATTGAAGCATGTGGGTGTTGGATGGCTTGTCCAATTGGAAGTGTTATTTGCAGGTATTCCGAGGTCAGACTAGGCAACACCATCAGTGCGATTTCGGGGAAGTGGTAGTTCCCAGTGTAAATGGGCTTAAATGGTTCTGTCTGAAGCCTTTGGTGGGCTGTCTGCGTTCCTTCCATCCTATTGATCAATTCTGCTCACTGGCTGTCACTTGATTGGCTTGTTTGTTGTCATGATGACCTAACCCCTCATGCTAACTGGTTAGTTTGCTGTCTTAGTTCCATACAACTATTTCCTCCAGAGAAGAAAAATCGTTATACTGCGGACACTTGTCAATTTTTTATTCCGGTAGTTTGCCGTGATCTCGTGTGATTTCGAGAGTGCGCAAAAATGAATCATTTCAAGCTCTGTTGACAAAATTGGTTCTCGTAACTCCGGTGAACTGAATTCCATTTCGCCTGTTCACCGAGCTAGGCAATTTGTTTGCAAACGTTTCATCACCAGAAACCAAAACCGGCGCACGAAAGTGCATGGTTAATGGTTGTAAGAACTGAACTGAGGTGACATCGTCAGTGCTGGCGATGTCACCTCGGCTGGTGGAATTTTTGCAAACAAACTGCCAAGCTCGACGAACCGGTGACGTGGAATTCATTTAAGCCCTATAACTGAAACGCTGGAGTGGGATTTACATATGTGAAAAGCTATGCTAGAAACGCGAGTAAGAATGACCGAAAAAGTGCATTGGGTAAAAGATTGGTATCAACTGATCGGTTCATTGTAGAACAGCAGCCAGTCCCATAAATTCGAACAAACCGATACGCCCTTACGGAGGGAGCAACAGAATAGGGCTTCACGAGCCATTGAACGGGATACTGTTTGCCCTGATGGGATGGAATTAGGGTGATTGACAGTGATATGCACCTTACACGTCAGACAGTAGGGGCAACGTCAATATGTTCAAAACAACGCAAGGTGGTTGAAATTCGGTGAACATTCACAATTTTCCTCTCTCAGAAAGTCTCAACGTAGCCCGGTACCAGGAAGACTGAATTCTACCACAATGAGGAATTAGTTCTTCTATCAACAGTATGATCGAGAAGTTCTAGAATTTGGTATGGCCATCAGAGTTACAGTAGTGAAAATAATACTAAGTGGTAATAATAATGGCGTTTATAACGGCGATTCATACTTTTGAGTTCTACGCCAAAAGATTTATTTAAACCACAGGAATCTGTATGATGATGAAACGATGAAGTCTGACTCAAACACTCGTGGTCTTCCAACTTGTCGGCTACATCAAGTCTACGGCCAGCGGAGCTGTAGGCCACCAAATGACGGATAGCAGAACGGTCACTAAGGTGGTTAACCGCAAACGGGTGGGCATTGCTTAACTAAATAACTGGTCGCGGACGACCAGTAAAAGTGTCTGAGGACATTTCGATTATTCGCCTGGCAATAAAAGGGGAATGGTGTCCGTGAAAAGCAGCGTGATATAAGCAAACCTGATTTGTATAATAATAAGGTTAGCGGTAGAATCCTTATGATCGACAAATGGCTAGGCTACGTAAGGATTAAAGGTATATCTTCTACGAAACTTGTTTGGTAATACAAAGGACACCATTTTGCACTTGAGCTTCAGGAATCTTCATGAAACCAATTTATTCCTCACCAGGAACATTTTTCTTATAAGCTGTAAACAAACAACGTTGTCATCAGTAAATTTTGATCTTCTGACCTCACTCGATAAGGTCTGCAAGGATTTCCTCTGCGTGGATTCCATCACCGAAAAATATGTTGATTTTCTTATGAGTTGCTTATTGCATTAATGACAATAATGATAAATCATAATGACAGCATCCATAATACAGATAGATAGGTTGACAACACTTACCAACAAGCTACCGTACACCTCGCCCACAACATTATTCTGATAATAGGCGCTCAGGAAATGCGAGAGACGAAGCGCCGTACGACCGACCATTTCGAACTGTTTCTCTGCCCCGTAACTCACTTCGCCGGGAAATTCCAACTGATCCGCAGTCATCAAATCACAATTTTTGCTGGTCACTTTCTTCGCATGTGCGATCAGTCTGTGAACCTGGGGTGAGTAACAACAACAAGAGGGGAAGGAATTGAATGGAAGAAAATTTGATGATAATATAAAAAGTCAGATGTATGGTGTTTAGAAGATTTGTCGTTTGAATTAGCCAAATCGATTACACAGGGACAGGACAATCCAGATGGTCTTTCTGTCTTGTGTATGGGTTTCGCTCCACGAAGGATGGTTCATCTCCCAAAACACACTGAACGCCATACATACATCAATATGCTCAAGTCACGTTTATTGCGGTTAGTGGCGCCTAATCCAACTACAAAATATGGAACCATGGTTTTAGTTCTTCAATGGACTGGTTCTGAAAGAGCCAAATACCAGTCCAGTCGGTGTTGCAAACAAGGTCATTGTGACGAAAATACACTTCCTGGTTACAAGTATGTGAATGAACTGATAAAAGATTACCGGTTACGCTGCCTGACGAGCTGAAAGAAAAGCGAAACCGGTCGTGTGCTTCCAGGGAAATTTAGTCTAGTCAACCACATACTACTTACTATTATGGAAGTTTCGCGTCGGAGCAAACCAAAAGCGTAGTGCACAACTATTTCGTCCCGGTTGTGACTATTCCGTGGGGCGTGCAATTTTTATATCTCCGTCGGAACTCGAGCGGCGAACTTGCGGATCGGGGATCGAAACTCTTATCCTTGAAGCACACGATCCACAGTAAATATTTTGGGTGAACCGCTGCGTCGATTTTACGACTTGTTCCTTCGGTTAGCTCATTCGCTTTGGTAAACACAACAATGAATGCTTAAATGTTGGTTGTTGTTTTTTTACGTTGAGCAGTCTTCGTATCTGAACTGGTACAACTGCATCTAGATAAGCTAATACCAGGTCAGTAGTAAAAACAGCCGTTAACAGTCGTTAATTCATCACTGTAAAGGACTCCAGGGTGAACCGGAAGACTTGATTCGCATTGGCCGGTACACAAAGCCTGGCTGTATTTCAGTCCCCGTGGCACCAATAAAATAGGTTCATATGACCGAAAAATATCTGTCAATGTGATCTACCTCAAACACACACGATTCGACTCTGCCGGTTCAGAAGTGTCGATTTCAGGTCAAGCGGATGTGCACATGACCCAGTTTGTTTGGCTACTTGAAAGAATCATGGTCGCGATGGTACTTCGAGGCTGATTTTTTCATCGTTCATGTATCAGGTCGATAAGATGAGGGATACTAAGTTGGTAATCACGGTTGACTCCAGCCTCAACTATTTCATTTAATGAAGGAATACAACAGAGCTTTTTTACGTTGCGGTGTTCTGGAATGGACGGGTGTAATAAGTGGAAGAATTAGTTGGTCAGCTGGTAGTTGGGGGCTGTGTTCGGGGAAAGAATTGGGTATATTTGTATATCAGATATAGGCACATTGGGTAGGCCGCAGATTAGTGTGATGTATGGTAGGGTGCTTTCTATCAACAAGTAACAGCAACATGACTTGATGTGATAGCTTGTGCCCTATGTAACTAAACGAGCTACACGGTGGGTTTTCGCAAGCCAAAAAACTTAACCATGTCCAAAATGTCAGACATTCGGGTTCAGACAAGTTCCAATTACCAGGTCCTTTAGGTTGGAGGTTCGAGTCGATTTGGCGTCTAAGTTGGCTAAGATACAGAGGAGTCATTAATTTAGGTAAAGGACCATTCGTTTTCCTTTACCCGTTGTCACTAAGTTACATTCTTATGAAGACTGAAAGCCTTTCTTGATAAGCTTAATTGTTCTCTTGATTAGTGGTTGAACGGTGTTGACCGAGCGGCAACATCACCAAATTACCCATCAAAGGACGTGTATTCAAATCCCACCACTATCCTTGGCTTTCCCCCATCCGGTGCCGTACGGTAGCTCTTTGATTGTCCGCTTACCCTTCCTGAAAAATGTATCATCATATATTCAATAAAACAAAGAAAAAGGAAAAACCCTCTAGCAGTACCCGTTCGTGAGCATTGTATCAAGCGGAATGAGCTATAGTAAATGAGCTAGTGCTCGGACATCTAAACCTTATTTTATATTCCTCTCCCCCAACATTTGCTCTTCTTTCCGATCTTAACATCCCCTCAGACAACCCTTTTTGTCGTCCGTCAAATGTTAAGTAATTTACCACCGCATAAACTGCAGATTCTGAAAGTTGATCAGCTGAAGAATCTGGGGGCCTTCAACATGAGGACTTTCAAGCAAGTGAGTCAATAAGGTTGTCTTGTGTGTACAATGGACTCTTGAAAAATCGATGTCTGCTGCCCATCGGGGGTGCGAATTCAAAATCCCAGTAGTATAAGTATATGGGTTCTGTCTTCGAGGTATTTCCTTCGCATATCGAGATACGAGGAAGCTTCGTTACTAGGTCAGCGTAGTACTGTACTGAATGACAATGCTGAAGTTTCAATGATAGGTTGCATTACTGTTAATAGTCGTTTATGTGAGCCCCCAGATTTCAGTCAATATTCGGAATGGAAGCAACATCGAAAAGTGTGTCCCCATCATCTCAGTATATCTGCCGACCAGATGCAGTTCCAATGCACCAAAAGAATAAATCCTATGATAATTTCATCAAACTCATTCATACAGAAGAGCACAAGCTCCAATATACTCGCGATGGTAAGTGAGTTGAAGACACTGGTTGGAAAACTGAAGGAATACCTGCTACTACGGTTAGATTCATGTGCCACGGATAGCTAATTCATTTAAATGAGTTATGAAACTAAGATTCGAAATCTCCCAAAAGGAAGAGCGAAAATCGACTCCAGAACATTTGATCAGAAAAGATGGTCGTTAGATTGGATACCAGGATGCACATCAGGCTCCCTGAACAACTGATCCGTTTGATTGAACAGCGGGTTGCAACAACTCACGTATTCGCTGTGTGGCGTGTCGGGGTACAGCTAGGTAAAGGATACAGCAGTAGTGAATCCCTGATACGATCTACAAATCAGGTTTTGGTAACAGTATTTTTTTCACAAAACAAATAACGAACTGAATTCATTGATGTCACGGTGCCCCAGACGATACCTGTTCTGTATACTGGCTAGTTACGGATCAAGATAATATACATTGTTTAATGTTTTAATACAACATGCAAATAGGTCCCACTGAATACAAATTTAAAAAAAACAATCTAGCAGTGACTGTCCAATAGGTCACTCTCACGATAGCCGTCTGGTAATATTAAGTTTGCTGTTTGAATTCCGATACTAAACAAACGAGCACAGACGCCTGCACGTGCACTCTCAAATCCTGGTACAAAGAACTGACAAAGATTATATCCCTTTAGATGAGGAATCAGGCTGGTTGTAAACTCATGTACAAAATTTCTGTTACCGGTGATTACCTCAAAAAAGCGATCCGAATTGAAAACAGTTCCCTCTCCAACAGTATAGAACGGTACATCCCAGTCACGCTTCTCACGTCTGAGCGGCTTTTCCCACTCGGTTTGATTATCCGCGTCGGATGGAACTTCACGATTTCTCGGACCGTAGTACACGGGAGAAGACTTGTCGGTCGACCGGGACAAGAGCGACGCCAGAATGGGCATATCGGACGGCTCTAGGGGCAACAGATGGGAAACTGAACGATAACCAGGAACTGTGTGGTTCTCAACAAAAAGTTCGGAAATCGGGCGAAGTTGATCCAGTTTACCGGGATCTTCTGTGATGCTGTTCAGTACGGTCTCAGGTAATCCATTAGGGCCATATTCTGTGGGCATGTGAAGTCCAATATCAACCTCATCGGAAGGCCTAACACCTGAGAACAGAAATGGACAGCAAGAATGTGGAAGGTTACACTGAACCAAATGGCTTAACTCTTGTAAAATTCAATCTCGTAGTTGCGGCAAACGATGAACACCCAATGGAATGGCTGCTGTCATGCGAGAATGGTAGTCGCAATGTGGTTGTAACATACAAGGACTTTAACATGAAGGGATTGCATGAACTGCAAAGAAGTGAGACTGACATAGGAAACATAATACCAAAACCCGGAATTCATGTGGAGTACCAAAAAAAAATACACAAGAACGTATTTGATTCGCGCAACAACAACAACAAGCTACAAGTGTTGACCATGACACGACGTGTTCAGGAGGGAAGGGTTTCGATACCTTTTCATTCTGGTTGTATGACGGCTCTTAAATTGGCTGCTTCTCCCTTCCTGAAAACTGTGTTGGTCAATTATGAATTCGATAAAATGAAATGAAAAAACAAACAAACAAAATAATCCCCAATCGAAGGTTTAAGTTGCGATTGCTGATCAAAACAGATGGGTTCTAAAAATGACAAAATGGTAGCTCATTGATATTCGCAGAGAAAATAATGACCTTAATATTTGGTGATCATGACAAGTCTGTTTCATGAGAGAAAAATAAGAGCGCGTTGGTAGCTATCCCCGACATGAATGATATAGCCAAACAGTACTCTTAAGTTTTTTGATCAGTGTGTCACACATTGACAATTTGTGATGAACTCGCTGCCATCATTATACAAACCGTTTTGATTGTTCCGAAACAACACAAGATGTGCAATGGTTATGGAAACTAAAGTAGTTGTGTCCTGTAACTGAATAAGTAGGTTATGGAACAAACTGAGTGCTATATCTTCCGGATGTCCATGTGAACATCCTTGTTTGGATCCAAATTGTTTTGTTTTTCTTCACTACGTTGGTCATCCTTGACGTACTCGGTCTTAAACCTTCTAGGTCACACCTTTACCTTTCGTTCCGTGTGTATGTTTGCCTAACTAAATACGCATCCAGTGTTTGACCTCCTATTGCATCGTTCACATGTCACGCACATCGTACGCGCTGAGTCACTACATGCACTTTTGTCCGTACGGTGTAGCGGTTGCCAACCCCCGATTCATCACTCCCTCTTCCCGCCTGTAGGCATCCCCTCGCTACCCCAACCTTAGCTATTCCGTCATAAGCTTGACCTTGGGATTGTTTTTCACCTTTGATGCACTTAATTGCCTCTGAGTTAGTAGCGATCTATCTTTTACCATTCTGTGTCAGTGTTTCTTGCACTGTAATTTTAGACAAATGGCGACGAGCCGTTGTTAGTTGAGTTATTCAAACCTCCAGCTGAGGCTCTTTTATTGTTGCCCCCTCGTTATTTGCATATTCCTCATCCGCTGGTCAAACGACTCCGTTGTAGCACAAACACTACAAATCCCAGTTTATCCTGTTTGGGCCTAAATCCACCCTTCATTGTGCGGTTGATACAACCCGCGTTGCGGTAATGTCGAGGCACGTTGTATTAGCACTTCTGTTTGATCTAAAATGGGTAACCCCATTTCAACTGAACCCAACTGGTCATATTCGTTTGAGTTCGCTTAGGGTCGTGTGTATCTCTGTTGGCAAAATCGGAACTTTTCTTGGCCCCAACGGAAAACTGGTATTCGTTACAATAGGTAACGAGGTAAGTTAGGAGACTTCACTACGAGACTTCCAAATCATAGTCCTGAATGAAAGACACCAAAACATGCACTTTGGCATGCTCAACTCAGCTGAAATTCAAGTCAAGTTTAGTATAAACGTAATTCACATTTCGCGCGTTTATTTCATTCAGAACTCAGGGATCTTCAAACATCGAATCCCCTTTATCCTATTCGTCAGAACAGAGAGAAGACAAATACCGCGAGATGTTACCATATCTTTTAATCTCCTAAGTCACTACAACGGAAAAAAGATGTAAAACGTTCCAGTATAAATGATAGAACGTTTTGATAATTACAGCGGTTCAACGGAAAGCAGTCAGGGAGGGTAAATCAGAATCACTCCCACGATAATTTCACTGAGTGCGTCAGAAACTTCCGTGCACATAACGTTGGATAACTTCATCAGTATCGCTTCGTTGAACGTTGAGAGCTTGGGATTCTTGCTACGGCCAGAACGATACAAGTGCATCAACGACGTCTCCAGTTGTCATGATGGTTTGCGATTGATGAAACTGGCTACCCGTTATCACATTGATCTGTGAGATTATGCTGCGTTATTGACCGCAAATAACCATTTGGGAATGTGTTCGGGCATCCGTTGTGACATGGGACCGACTCATTCTGCCCAGCTGTCAACAATGCATCACACCGATCACGAGTTTCAGATCTCAGACCCCAGTCCTTACTGTCGAGAAATGTTTTTTTGAGGGAAGGCTGTGAAGTCAGAACCAAATCTGATCCGCCTGTAGACGGTCCGTATCTAAAACTATTTCGTTTGAGCAACTCCGACACTGCGATTCTCTTTACCCTCCCCTCTGAATTAGTGCAAATGCATAGCCCCCAAACTTAGATCTGACACAATACAAAATCTGTTTCAGTATGTGATGCGTCATCACATACACACAGCGATTATAGTGAACTATGACCCATCAGAGTGCAGAGGTAAATCACCGCATGTCCAAGCGCATCATGGGCGTTTGACAGAGATCAAATTCGTGACATGTCACGTGCAACCTAAACAAGTCTGTTGAGACCAGTATCATGCTTTTTGCGCGCTAACCGATCACATCATAATGCACAAGTTTCGACCATTGGGTAGGAGTAATTTAGCATACAGAATCTTATGATGGAACTCTGCAAGGGGTTGCCAGTTTGATGCACGCGCACATACTTCACGTGTGAGAGAGTGAGACTTACAATGCAATTTTACCACGTACGAATTTATAATAATCTTGACGTGAAGCATTTTCAGAAGAGGAGAACTGCGATGCGAAATTGGAGTCAAAAATAAAAACGTAAACAAAACCATTAGCAGAGATGAAATGTGAATAATTGTTCAAAAACGTACCCAATGGAAGCATTGCGAGGAAACTGCGAGCAAACCTCCGAAGACGAAGCCAGGGTGAAGCTGTAAGGAATAAACCACATTTGTGTTTGTGCTTATTGTCTAATCAAACTGTTTTAACTTCAGAAACAGTGTGATGTATTCAAAATACACTGCAAACGACTATTTCTCTCCCAAAACCAAAACTTGACACAAACTTTGTTCATTCTCCATTGCCTACTCATGTGGTTGTATTGGGGATAAGCAGGTGTGATAGTAGTTGCACGTCATCGTCCTGCTCCGCTTCCTGGTTCTAGCCCAAACAGACAAAAGGATTGTGACGAAGTTACAACGTCAATCACAATGTCTGTGCTTTTCTGAGAACCGGAGAGTGTGAACGGGTCAAACCTTTGCTATTCGCTCCTTCATTCACACTTCTGAAATGGCGGTCCGGTTGAATAAATCCGAAGTCCTAATGTGTTGGTTTCTTGAACACACATCTTCAATTTGGCGAATAATTCAATCGACTTTATACCTAAACGAATACCAAATTCTTATGGCGATGTGAAAGTATAGAAGCCAGGTTTTGATCGGAAGGCGTTATGGTACGTTCTGGGCCTTTCGTCATCGCTAAAGTATATGGACAAAGAAGTATTTACACTTCGAAAGATTTTATCGCGTACGTTATGAAAATGGAATATTAAGAGTTCGACTTTATAGAGTCTGGCGCCTAAGCGATCCGAAAGAGACGGTGGGATATGAGTTAGGAAAATTGAACGAGAGTTTATGTGCAGAAGACCATCTCATAGCACGTACACAAAAACCGAGTTCATTGCACACCCTCGTGTCAAACTGTTCAAAAGACAACCGTTTTCATTACCGCCACAATCAAACAAGACAATGTTATTTCAAGAGTTGGTAGTCCACTTCGCACTGCGGGTTCGTTTGTCCCACCACATCAACTCGGTCAAACGTATTCCGATCAGACGACACAATTATCTCCGGCTGCATTTATCTTTCTCGATGCGGTTCGCGTTAATTTGAAAGCACGGAGTACTAGCTGACGACCAAAATCAGTATTATTGCACCGAAAACCTTTGCTTCTCGAAAGCATGTTAGCACCTAATTTATTGAATGCTGCTCACGGTGTTCACTGCCACTGTCAGGCTTCGAAGCTTTATATTCTCAAGGATCTCAGAGACGCCTGATAATGCTCATTTGATATTTTACCTTTAAGTGAAAATACCTTTATTATGATAGCCCTATCGTAGTACCATTTCACTCATCTCATCCTTCTCCTTTCGTCTATTATTATTGTATTTCACACACGTCTGACGCCAGACTGTCTGCCAAACAAATCACGGTACAATAATCTTTATATAAAAAAGAAAAACGTCCTATGATTTGCATGTGGGCTGAATACTGCCAGGTTGCCCAGGTCAATGCTAGCCAAAGCCTGACCCGCAAAGCAGCGGGGCGGTGTGGGGAAACCGTAATCCATTGGAGGCCTGTGTCCAGTTAAGCGGATCATAGGCCCTTTGGACAGTGTCAAACATCCGGGGTGCCCAGTACACCTTGATGTTCAATCCAGCCGGCGACCACTGCCACAACCGGGAAGGTATGTGTGTGATTCGTACGCCCCCTATTGGTTGATTTGGAATCAGGGTTTTTGTCCAACTTCCCTAGGTGACTTACCAGTGATCCACCAACAAAGTTATAGCCCCGGATGTCGGCTTTTCGTCCTCTCACTCTGGTGGGAAAACACCTCCGCCACGATAAGGTAGTGAGGAGATCTTCCACAGCAGAAGCTGTTTCAGACGCTTGGTCGCATGGGGGAATTGCGCGATGTGCGAAGAGAGGGTGACCAGCGGCAACCCTAGACACCCACCCCCAACGATACTGAGATTTTCGGAGGCTCTCTCCCCTTTCCCCAATAATAAAAAATCACTCTTTGTTTCTCAATTCATACTCATCGAATGTTTATCTCAAATCATTTCAGCTTTATCTAAACAAGCCATTCCTTATGTTACTACGCGGTCAGTTATGGCCTTCTGTGATTAGTCGTTGAAAATTTTGTATTGCCTAACCCCTTCTGTATCCGCTTAACTTAGCTTTGGGACTCTACAAAAGATACCCCGTGTGGTCACCTATTCCATCCCAAATGACTTAAGTAATTATCAGACTAACAATCAATTGGTCAGTGGACCAACTGTCAATGTTCCTATAGGGTAACAATGCTCTAACAATCAAACCTATTTTGCTTACCCGGAGATTCGGTATTTCCGGACCGATCCCAAATACCACTGTCAACAGAACGGCGAACAACTGAAGAAGTAGAGCTGGCGTCTTTAAGCCCGGTCTCCTCTGGAATAACTTCGCGCCATCCAACTGGGATACAATCGAATCCATTATTGTACTCCTGCTCGGTGGCGACCTCAATGTCGACACCACGAAACGGGCCATTCTGACCGGCCGGCAAACGATGTCCAGGTTGGCAGACACACTCGTATCCACCTCGACGAAATCCGAATCCGGTAAGAGGAACACACTAAAACAGTAACGGAACACACTCGAAACAACTATTCACAATTATACAATAACCAGAAGGTGGCTGAAAATCTGAAAGCTTTTGATGAAGTGTACTCGAATAAGCGGAACGATTGCTGAGCTCCTGGTGCTTCTGTATTGCATGGTATGGTGGTGGTGGTGGTATTCAGACGCATGACCCCCCAGGACGAAAAAATGGTTAGTAGTTATACTGCTTGGCCTGGACTATGGCAATGGGTGATACAACAGTAAAACAATCTACAATCCATAGGAAGTGGTGAAAGCCGAGTTTAAAATTAAGGTACTTTCGGATCGGCAAGTTAGACCCATCGGCACTCGACAGTATGACTTGATCTGCTCAGTGGCGAGAGCCATGTGATAAAGTGCTCATTTAGGGTTTGTAATTGTAAATATTATATATTCTGTGGGTATAAAGCTTTCATTTGATTTGAAAATGTACACAGTACAGAAAAAGAGAAAAGTTGCGTCCCCAACACTTTCAATGAAGTCTGCGAAAACCTGATCCTTCTTAACCAGAATACGTTTTGAAGAGGATGCCGTAGATATCGGGATCTAGTTGACGGATGGGGACGGCATGTGTGCGGTGGATTTGTGGGACCCATAAGAATCTTTTGTGCATATTTCGCACATGCATTCCAATGACGTTCACAAAGAGTGTTTATCAATTGCTCAACGGGATTGAAGAAACACGGCTAACGGTGGTTAGGCGACGTCGCAGCAGCTTAAAGTATTTCTTAAGGAGATTGGAAAAGGCGACAGGTGAACAATAAAATAAAACGGGACAAAGATACAAAGGTGAACGAATTTGAAGATAATCGACCGTTGAATTCGAAACTGACAAAGTTCACCGATATGGAAGGAAGTTTCCGAAGTGTAGTGACGACATGTTTAATGTGAGAGGTTCAATGAAGGTTGTCATGGATAAAAAAACAGCTATTCAATGCAACTTCCCCGGGTACTGCTTCAGAGCTAGTCGATAGCGGATCAGAAACATTTAGAGTCCGGAAATAAGGGAAGATTTTTTAATCTTATGCACTTTGTCAGAAAATTGTAGCGGATTAGAAGAATCGGAGATAGCCTGACGTAAAACCACATCGTCAGCCTATTTGAAGAGAGAATTAGTGGTTGGTTTATATTGCATGATAAGTTGGCAGGCGAGTGTATCGTTAATTGAATGAACTGGAGCACGTAAGTGGAGGTGAAGTTTGAACAATAGTCCATCCAACTCAATAGCACACATCTTCAAGCACTTACACACAACCAACTGTGAATTGATATTTGTCGGGACCGTGAGGTTAAATAGACCCCCATCTCCCCGCTTATTGATAATCAAATCGAGGGCAAAACGCGCCTAACTCACTCCTCCCGATTACCCAAACCGAGAGATAAAAAACATTTGGGAAAATCCGGACCCTTTGCCGACCCGTATAAAGAAATCAATAATTATTTAACCTCACAGGAAAGGGGAAAATGTTACCTTGACTGGGAATGGAACGTTGAAAATCCGGTTGTCAAGCTTGGTAAGCAACGGAACACCAAAAAATGCTGGTTTACACCGGCAAGCTCCATCTACGAAAACATGTGAGCACTGTTATTACAAAGGTTTCGACGAATGGTGTGGACAGATTCACATGACCATGAATGGATCACACTGGCTCTTTTTCATTATGGACAAACCAAAATCGCTAAGCATTATGTTGGATGTGTATTTAAATGTGAAAACAACAGAGTGGTGCAGGAGGTTTCATAGATAAGCTTGCAGAATGCTCGTTGTACTAGGGCGTGGGCGGTATCCATAGTGTGAGTTCGAATCCCACTGGGACTCTTGATCTACTCTCAATTGAAACAAGTGTAATTGTCACTCAAAGTTATCCGTCAAAACAATGAACCTCGAACAAAATGCGTAGCAACCAAGGAGAGGAATTGATATTGTCATTCCGATTGTAAGTATTGGATGACAACAATGGTACTTAGTCTGCTATTGGTATCAATAGCAGAATTAAAAGAAACAAGAGGCAGAAAAAGACAGATGAAAGAAAAAACTGATCGATATAACTCTGTACAATATTGGATATTTTTCATCATCTCAACCAAATCATGGAACAACCGCCTTCTGCTTAAGTTCGACTCATACACGCCTACGGTAAACAAGCAATGCAATTGGAACCGGACCAAGTTCATTTTGAGCAATTTATAAGAATCACTGTGGAGGCTAGCTCTGATTTAGCACACCCAACTTGGGGATATGGGTAGCGCAACACATCTTTGGGATCGCTTCGGAGACCAAGTAACTCTGTCAAGTGTGTCACATTCCATTAAGTTGGTCGTAACAGATAGAAGCTTTAGAGTAAAACTTCCACAGAGAGAGAACAGACTGATGATCAATGAAACGAAGAGATTGGTTAATGCATTCCAATTAAAAATGTGAGATGCCTACTGCTCAACAAAATCACTGGATCCACCAAGATGCCTCTCTTCTCACTTGCTTTCGTCAATGACTTCAATGTGAACACGAGAGACCGTCTTCAAACGCATTCACTTTGATTTACTCCCATCTGGCCGCACCGTGATTAAAGAGGCATGTGCTATGTATGTACTATGACCACAGCCAAACCCATCACCGCTCCCTCGTGGGACCGGAATCACATCGAATTTCAGGGGTCCTTTTATATATGCTTTGACTAGTACAATACTGAGTGCACCTTGAATTGAAAAAGCAGACTACCATTATTGTTGACTGACCATCGTGCAGATTGCACCTGCACGCACATTGATGAATTCATCCAGCCGATCATACACACTCGAGAAGCACTGTAGACTTGGGCAAAATGAGCTTATTGACCACCATTGATGATGATATATGAACGAAATTGAATCGATAGCTTTGGTCAGTTCATATGTGAGCTGATTCGTGCAATGGTGACATACGGGCATACACTTTCCACGCAGGAGTTCCCGTATTCAAATCCCGATCAGGGTGATAGATACGTACCACTAATGAGCCCAGCGCTAACCAAATCTGCGATTAACTAGATGAAGTGAGAATCGTGAGTGAATCTGAAGCCTGAAAGAATCTTGATCTAAATGAAAACTAGCTATTTAACACCACTGCTTGCTTACACTATTTACATTCAGTAACAATGAAAACAACGATTATGCCGTTCCGTTCATTTTAGTTACACCAATGTAATTTTGAGAAACGGCGTTACGATCGAGAAGAGGAAGGAAAACCAATAATTTAAAAATCAAACGGTGCTTTCAGAATTGGAATCTGTGTCATCGTGATTTACGTAATCTATTTACCGACGTTCATTCCCACATCCGATTTTAAATTGCTAAATCACTCTTCATTACGTCTGTCCATGGTTTTAATTAAATTCTCAAATAATAAAATGGCACACCTCTTCACTTTTATCAACTTAGAAAGCCTTTAAATCCGTATATATGCAACTCTTTGCTTAAATATTTAATTTGAGTTGAATATATCCACAAAAAATCGATTATCAAAGCAGAGATAAGTGAGACTTCCCTTTTAGTGTTTTTCCAATCAATCTTTTTCATGGTGGCTTAAGATGCAATGAATAATGCGTCTCTATCCAACTGGCACAATTTTTACTTGTTCGTATTGGTATTTGTACAACTTGTTTAAGCATATATGCTTAAATTTCAGTTTACAATGTCCATTGTTTGTCATGCAGCATGGAATAATAACAATAATAATAATAAAAACGAAAGATAAATAATGTCGGTGATATTTGTTTCATGTACAAAAATGTTGACGCAGTTCACTTGAGACCTGTTCCTTTTTGATAAGTAGTCAGACCAGATAGGGTACAGGGGAATTTTTATATGTTAATGCGAGAGGGTAGATGTCGAAATAAGGACGGATTGGAACAACAAGATGATAAATCAGGGTGTAGTGGATGAAGAGGGTCATCTAGAATCTTATGGGCAAATTTAAAACAAGAGTTGACGTAAACATCAATGAATTCTGTGATTAGTGAATCGATCGGGATTATTGATGCACGAATGATGACCATCAAACCACCGCGAATTGTTTTGAAGTCTTGTTTTAGAAGACCGGGAAACACTACAGGGGAGCAATAAAGTAGAGTTGATAAAACGCATTGATGAACGAAAGATGACAGGACTGACTGTGGGGTTCGGAATTGCCTGAGTTTGCGTAACTGAAAAGATAGGCGTCTCAGTTTTCCCATACAGTTGTAAATATGTGTAGACCAATGAAGATTGCTGTCGATGGTGACACCCAGGTACTTGACTGAGGTCATTTTGGATACAGGTTTACCGTTAAGGGTAGGAGAATCCGTTGGAAATTAGGAGCGGGAAAGACTGAAAATACACTCTACGCATTTAGATATGTTAAGAGGGAGACCAGATTGGCCAGAAAACTGTTGGATAGGTTTTCAGTAAAAGAATGAAATTCCGAAGGAGATGAAACTGTTTGAGACAAAACAACGTCATCAGCATACTTTTGGATGTGCGCAGGGAGTGGGACCGAAAGATCACTAATAAAGACAGAAAAAAGATATGGAGATAGAACAGCAACTTGAAGAACACCACAATGATTAGCAAGAGGTTTTGATGTCCTCCTTCCTAATTTGGTGCACTGGACCGTCTCTGTGAAACAGTCAGCAAGCCATGAGAGCAATTGTTTTGGGGTGCCAAAAGATTCAAGTTTGAAAAGAATGGATGATACCAATTCAGTGGTCAGGGCACAAGCAACGACCAGGTATCACACATTTGGTTGACCATGAGCAGGGTACTTCGAAAATAAATCGAGTCCCACTGAATTGTAACAGTTTGAAAACGTGATCAGGATGACCCACAAGAACGGTCAAAGCATGTGTGTTTGGATTGTGTGCATTCGAACGTGTAACTATGGTAGGAAAAATTACACAATCAGGGAAGTACGACACAACTGACCCGGTTTCTAATGTTCACTTTTAACATCTACCCAAA